TTATTACCTTCATCCTTTTTGCATTGGTAGAAAAGGAGGTGTTCATCCTTAGTGAGATTCTAAGGAGGTGTTTTCATCCTTTGATTTGTTCAGAGGAGATGTTCATCCCTAGTGGGATTCTAGGGAGGTATTCATCCTTAGTGGGTTTCTAAGGAGGTGATTGTCTTTTTAATTAGTTTACTTTTTACTGGTTCTTCTGCTGAGTTGATTGTAATTTGTAAACTGAATTTGAAAGATAGTGAATGAGGAGTCACTCTTGTATTAAGAGTTGACTGGGAACTGGATGTAGGGTTGGTTATACCCGAACTAATATAAATCTCTGTGTGCTCTTCTTTTTCCCTTATCTCTTTCTCTTTTTCTGATTATATTATTGCTTCCGCCTTAACAAATTATTGACTCACAAATAAATTTTTAATTTGACATCTATTTTAATTTGTGCATCTATTCACCCCCTCTAGATGTCATTTGTCTAACAAATATTATATACAATATATAGTAATAACTATTATTATGTATTTAAAATTAATATTGTAATATTATAAAAATATTTTTTAATAGTTTTTTATATAATATTATTTTAAAATGAGATCAATAAAATAATTATTAAAAAGAAATAGTTTTATTAAAGTTAAAACAACTTGACTTATATAATCAATTATACATATATGCTTAAGTGATTTAAGATGGGTAACTCTAATGATAATAAAGTAATTTTATTTTTTTGCACTGATTATTATTATTATTATTATTATTTTTTTTGAAATCTTTATAAAGACATGATAAATATGGACCATATTATTTTTCCATCAAATGATCACAAATTGATTGAAACATACATACTAAATACACTACAATCTTTTTTTTTTTAACTAACAGTAAATCAAACAAAGTTATTTTTGGAAAACTTATCTCATATAACTATACACAAAATTCAATCTATTATGAATAACATACATGTCTTGATTTAAATCCACACAAGCATATGTAAGTTAATTATATGTCACATTCCAAACATAATTTAACTTCACATAAATAACATATAAATAAGTTGAGGAATCATTTTCTGAGCCTTATATATATATATATATATATATATATATATATATATATATATATATATATATATATATATATATATATATATATATTATGAAATTAAACTATTATACCTTATTATAAAAAAATTAGAAGCGGATAAAAGATATTATTAATTACACACAAATAAATAATTTTATTTAGTTACTTCATATTTTAAATAAACAGAAACATATAAAAATAGTTTACCACTAATTAATAATTCTAAATTGTTTTATATAGAATTTATATTACATTTCTTATTTGTTATTTATTTATATTACATTATCTATATCAACAAATTTGTTACACTTTTAGAGCAACCAAAATAGTTTATCACTAATTAATAATTTTAATTTTATTTATTTATATATTAAAAAGTTAATATATCTTGTATAATTTAAATGAATGATTTTTATTGATTTTTAGATGTTTTAGAATTATAAATTTAAATTACTTATTTATATTTTTTTCATTAAACAAAATTACAAATTTATATCGATTTTATACCTATTTTTATTTTTTTCTAACCAATATCACAAGGATAATTATATTTGACAAACCTCTTGTCTTATCGAATTTTTTATAATATAATATAATAATAATAATAATATATAAAATATATTATATCATAAAAAATATAATTAAAACATTATTAAAAGTTTTATTACATACTTATATTATTAAAATTATTTTTTTATTTTTTTATTTTATAAATAACACAGAATTTGATGAATAATAGGAGGTGTAATTCATATATAGTCTACGAAAGAGAACATTTTATCTCCACCATCTCCCTCTATATTTTAGTGACTAATGCTGCAGGTTTCAATAACAAATAACAAATACAAATTTGCTTTTGAAGACCGTCTTATATATTCTTAAACGGTACACAATTTAAAATTTCATCAAAACTTTCTTGAATTTTTTTTTATCATACAATTTTTTTTAAATAACATCATATAATTATTTATGTAAAATTAATTAAGTATATTTTAAAATTTATAATAAAATATAAAATAATATCAATAAATTAAATAAAATAATATTATAATAATTTTTTTTCATTAAATAACATTCATAAAATAATATTATAATAAATATTTTTTTTTCAAAAGAGACTTAGACATATTCTAAACATATTACTGTTCATATTTTTTATTGGATAGGGAAGGATTATATATATATATATATATATATATATATATATATATATATATATATATATATATATATATATATATATATATATATATATATATATATGATAAACATGAATTAGAGATGACAGTATGTACCAACATGTCTTTTTGAACAGTATCGTGTAAACGGGAATTTGAATGTTATGCAAGTAGATTTGTATAATAATAATAAAAAATATATATTATATAATGAATATATTTTGTTATATTATCTTTTTAAAAGATTTTTTTAATATTATCTAATTTTTTTTCATTCTTTTTATGATTTTATTTTTAATTTTATATTTTTCTAATTATATTTTTATTTATTTAAAATAACCAATCTAGGTTTATATATTAATTTTTTAATTAAATTTAATTTTATTATTAATGATAAATCTAAAATTAATAAATAATAATGTACTAAATAAATTCTTCATTCTGAAAATTATATATATATATATATATATATATATATATATATATATATATATAAATAAAGTGATTAGACCAATGGGAGAAGTTATAAATAATTTATTAATTTAAATATTAAAAAATTATGGTATAAATTTATTCTTTCCCATGATTTGATTCGAATAGATCATGGGTTATACAGAGTTAATTTAAGTGAAATATAAATTAAAAATATCTAATTTATTTTATATTTTTTTATCATGGACTTGACTATACATATACTATTAAAAAGAAATTATTTTTATATATATATATATATATATATATATATTAAAAAAAGTGTGACAGATGGATGTGACGTGGATTGTTTTGATTGAGTAAGGTTCATTATTTCATTCATTCATCGGAGGCATCAGGCCTTGCCAAGGGGACTCTCAAGTGAATCTCTGTCCCCTCCTCTCCTCCTTCCAATCAATTTCTCTACACACTTCCACTATGCATCTGTCTCCATCGACCAAATAATTCTAAATATTTTTATTTAAATATTTTGAATAAAAGTAGCATGATAAAATTACAAGGAGTGAAAAAACCATCTATCATATTATATTATTACTATAAATAAAGGACTGTTTAAATAAATGAAAAAAAATGAAGAAAAGAAAAGTTATAAGTATATTAAATGACGAGGAAAAGGATGAAAAAGAGAGAATGTGAGGCGACACATTTGGGGTAATTTGACAACTACAAGACAACAAAGAGAGGCAATGCGTGGACGGAGAGATGCTACGTTTCATGTCTAATTTCTTCCTTTCTTTCTTTGTTTTGTTTTTCGTAATTATTAATTTTTGTGAGTTGTGTTTTTGCCTTCTTGGATGGGATATGTTTTAGAAATGAGGTTGAGTTGATGTCAAAGTGTGACAAAACAATCTTCCACGCGTTGGAATGTTGTGTCCCGTTGATGCCATTGTCATCCATCATCATTCATTCATTCATCCCTCAGACTCTCACCTCCACTTCCAATTCCACCCTACAATATCTTTATCTCTTTTATATATACAAAAAATTCTCCCAAAATACTTATATGTAAATAAAATAAAAAAAGTTTTTTTTTTAAATTAAAATTAAATTTTATACGTAAATTTTTATTTTACAAAAATTGTTTTTTTAAAAGTTAAAATTAACTTCCAGATAAGTTAATTTATATTATATATATATATATATATTAATTTTAACTCTGAATAAATCATTTTTTTTATGTTTTGGAGAAATTTATTTAAGATGATATTATAAAAGAAAATTTGTATAAATTAATTTTTACTGTTAATGGAGAAATGATTTAAACATGCCCTTATTTCTTTGTTTTTTTTTCTTAAGCAACATGATGCGCTTACCTGAGTTTAGTTTCTGAAATTCCAGTTTTATTGAATAATTTTTTCTGTAATTATTTGATGAGAAACTAAAGAATTACTACATTTCTTAGTTAATATAAAAAACCTTAAATGATATTAAAAGATAGGAAAAAATTATTTTAAAGTTTCATTCTTAAAAAACAAAGTAGTTTAAAGTTTATACATACAAGATATGGTGTATATATTTCTATTTCATTATTAAAAAATAATGTGATAAAAAGTTGTCGAATTAATATGAAACCAATTTTAAACAGTGCATTTAATGATGCTGATTGGAAAGATATTTACTAAGAGAAAATTGATTTTAAGATAAATAAATAGTATTTGTTATGGTTTTTCTAATTTTAAAAGTAAATTCGATTTAGATTAATTTTTCCATTATTTATGTTAAAAATAATGTGTCCTTTTTCCATCGAAAATAAAACTCTTCCTCATTAATCATCACCATCCAATAAATTTAATCAAACATTTGACCAAACACAAATCTCGATGACTTGGTTTTGCTATCAAAATTTTCAAACTTTACTTTTAGTCAGTTCAATAAGAGACATGTTTCTCCTTTGAGTGTTCTGTAATTTTTGTAACCTACAAACCACAATACACAATCAAAATGTTTGAAGAAACACTCCTTCACAATAAAATTAGGTTTATGAAAGACCTAATCCTCACTTGTGCATTAGGAGTAGATTGGAGTTTGATTTCTATTGAATTCATCCATGTAAAGAAGTCAAGAACATTAAATGTGACTAAACTTCAAACTAGAAATTTGTCTTTTAACCAATTAGAAGGATAACAAACCTAAGGGTCATCTAACAAAGATACTCAAGGATTTTAGTTTGGAGAGTCAAAGATGGTGGTTAAAAAAATGGCATAAATTAAATTAGGGATATGAATAGGGATTAGAAAAGGTGAAGGATGAATATTAATTTGGGGTGAATGTAATTGAGAAGATGGGGTGGTACAGAGGGAAGTGTGGACCAATCTGAGGGCAGAGAGCATAGGCATGGTGGGTACAGTAGGTACCACTGGCACTCTCTGGCACTGTCACAACCACAAGCAAACCCTCTTCTCCTCCTCCCTTCTTCCAACTACTGTACCTTTCTGGGCACTGCTTGCTAGGCTACTACTAGTACATCTTCTGCTCTACAATCCAACTGCAACAAGAAACTTCCCCACACAACAAATTTTTAATGCATGTCTCCCAACCAAATAAATGGTAACAAGAATCACTCAATCAATGGATTTCTATCTGGATCAGAACAAACTTACCTTTCCTTTATTCAAATATTACACGTTATTCTGGAATACACATTTAGAATTATCATATTTGGGTTACTGAAAAGTGTTTTGGAAGATCCATAACTCCTCCATAACACATTTACAAGATCATTATAGAGTATGGATTTAGGAATGCATGTTTCTTGAGATGTTTCATTACACACTGTTTATTTTGTGATTATATGTTCCATGATTATTTTAAAGGACTAAAAATAGACATTGGATTCTGCTTGCAAAAAGGTGCTCTGGAAGAAGAACACTTATTTGTAAAGTGTTTTGCAATATATATTCTGTAACACGTATGAATTTGGTAATTATATGTAAAAAAAGATAAATTAAAAAATTGTAACACATATTTGTAAGATTAGTTTTAAAACCTTTAAAAATTTTAAAAGAATAATAGAACGTACGTGACTTTTGAAGGATGTAAGGCCCATAGTCCTACAATGCCAACCAAATCCTGTTTTTGGTTTTTGTCCATTATGCTCTTTTCTCCAAAAAATTTAATATAGTAGGTTTCTGAACTCCATTTGGAACATGATGGATTATTGGTTCACAGGTTAAAATTAGTTTATATTTTTCATTGACTATTAAACTCTTTTATTTTCTGGCTTGAGAAACCCTATTTCATTTTTTGCCATCCCTCTATTTACCATTTCACTTAAAATGATTTGGTGGACACTTTGTTTCAATTTGAGTCTCAATTCTTGAAATCACATCCAATAATATTTAAGATATAATCGGCAATTACTAATGAAGGAGGAAAGTATCACATGACATATAAAAGTTCGTAGCTGGAGGAAAAACAGAGAACATGCCTTTATTATATTTATTATTTTTTTGGAAATAGGGGTAGGGGATCATTTACTTATTATTCTCCAAAAATTTGATTCTAGCGAAAATATGATAATAAATTAAGTTATATGCTTAAATGCATATATTAACCAAAAAAAGTGCAACAAGAATAATAATTAAAGGAGGGACTGATATTTTCAGCTAAATCTGAAAATTGATCTCCATGATCTAAATATCATCATGTACAGCAAGTCCAAAACTTACAACACCACCTAATAGTGTGGTTGGAAATGACATGGTAACATGTCCAACACTCCAAACATGCGGAAACAAGAATTATTTGCTTCAGTCGAGATGTAAAAATTCAGAGTCAATGTTGTGTCTAGATGTGTATCCAGACACCCGCTATGAGACTATCAAACAAAAACCAACATAGATGTCGTGTCTGCCAAAACCACCATCAATCAAGTGGCAGCTACAAGCAGGTTTACCAATGAAACTAAAAACAGTGGATAAAAGATGAAGAGTCAAATCTAGCTAAATTTGCCAAATTCGCCAAATATGAATTATGTCCTCCCTCACAATTTTATTTAGTTGATTTTAGATGGTCAATTTTTTTTTTTTTTAAATCTTTAAGGCAAACCAAGATGGAGAAACAAAAAAAGAAAAATGTCATTACATTCTCTAGCTAGAAGTTCAAACCTGAGCAACTAACAAATCTTAAGCATCCTTTTCCACCAAAACATGTGGTCTCTGTTCAAAGGCCCTCAAAGAACCGAATGTGGTCTTCGAATGTCTCCCCATGTCTGATTTTGCTGACTGATCCATCTTCTTCAACCTAAAATATTTAAGAATATAACATGTTACTATTTAAGGAAAAATAGTTGATAAAATAAAGTTGTGTTTTCATGCAAAGTTTCCTTATAAGTGGTGTGGTATAATACTTCAAACTAGAACAGGATTTTACAACAGTAAAACCTAGTAACCATGTTACCAACAAGACTTGAGTTATTCAGTGTTTATACCACATATTCATTATAGTAAGCAATGATCTTAACCCTTTTTTCTTAATTTTTTGTATGGATGTGGAGCTGAGATAAGGGATAAGGATCAAAAAGAGGGAAATGTCCCAGTTGTAGTTCCTCTGAAGTTAATGTTACACTAAAACTCTTAAAGAGTCGAGTCTAGAGAGGATTCCAACCGCAGTTGATGAATAAAATTTGACCGAGAATTTTATTAACTAGTGAATCAAGTATGAGAAAAATACATCCCACTCTCATTAATGGTTATCAAAATGCAAAGTCCTCTAAAAACTACCCTCAACATCAAAGAAGCCTATCCAAATTCCTACAAGATTAGCAATTGAAGAAATCAGCTCGTACCCAATACTCGGGAGGTCGCATCTTTAGATTGTAAGTTGATGCCATACTCATGCAATAAGCACCAGCATCATGAACGACCAGACCAGTACCCTGCAAAGTGAAACTCAGTTCAGATAGTGAAATCAAGTAGGAATTATCACAATAGTTTTTGTAATTAGAAAATATTTAACCTTATTTGGAGTTGGAAGTTTCCTATCTTTTCCTAAGAAATCTGCCGACTCACAGACAGGGCCAACCACATCAAACTTTGCTATCTCAGCATCTTCTGGGGCAGGGGAAACCAACTCGATATGCTGCAACGAAACAATGACATGTCATTCAATATTCAAGTTAAATTGAAAATAAAAAAGCACAACCAAACGACATTCGAGTAGCATAAGATAACAATTATGAACTCATAATATGTTGTCTTTTAGAGGTCTATCAACTCCCAAGCAGAAGGCAAAAGTACATATACATTTATATCTTTCAAATAATTTAGAATGCAAGGCTAAAAAACAAATACAATAATGTTTTTTATATAGATTTGGCATAGGAATGACAAAAAGGACAAATCGAGGACATGACATCAATGTTGACATGACACTCCAGCCAAACAAAGTTATTTTCGAGGGACTAGACGATGAGGAGATTCTCACAACGAACTAATCATATAAGAGAATATAATAACATCTTCAACTCAAAACTTTTAGACATTTGGCTATGGATCTTTTTCACTCTTAAGTTACTCAAATTTTTCATTTCTACTCAACGCAGGATTTCAACTCACACTTTAATTCTCAACACAATTATATAATGTCGGACATAACATAACATGTTATAGATGAAAGCACATGCACTCAAACAGCCTATATTTTTCATTAGTTTCTATACCGTTTAGGTTGATTGGAAGGTTGACATTTCCATACACTTGGTGCATTGCCAAAACCCCCAACTAGGAGTACATGCAATCCTAATAGTCACCTTTAAATCTGTTGAGAATTCAAGTGTGAGTTTGAAGTCTCAAATTGTGTAGAAATGAGAAAGTTTAGTAACTTATAAATGAGAAGGACCCATAATCTAATACCTTAAGGTTTTGGGTAAGGATTTAGGGTTTTGGATTAAAGGTGGTGTCATATTCTCTTATATGGTTTGACTAGTATCTCATTGTTGAAAATCTTCCTGTTATTAGCTCCTTCATGTTTGTCAAACGGTAGTATAATTAAGGTTACTACAAGATACTTATGATTAAAAAATGTTGGTTGAAGGTGGTGTCATATTCAGAATCATAGAGTGAATCTTGACAGAAACCACAGAGGAAATATTTGCTAAATCATATCTACAATAAAGGGCCAGATTCGATTGCCAAGAAGGAGACCACAGATTGAACACGAAGAATGGCAGATAGATTCACTCAGTGTACCAGTGGCAAATGCAGATTAAGGCTTTTTGCAGGAACAATTTCCAACATAGTTCAGGAAGGGGGAAGCATCAAACCCAAAATTCCAATAAAAAAACTGTTATAAGTTTGCATCCATATTGAAGTATTTTGTGACTAGCCAAGAGTGATTGAATTGGATAATTACCTGGTAAGCATTATAAAGACTAGGACGGATAAGTTCAGCCATGCTTCCATCAATCACAATGAAGTTTTTAGATCCATTGGTTTTGACACCTGTCACTCGGTTAACTAAGCAACAAGTGTTTGCAATGAGTGATCTCCCTGGTTCAATGATGAGATTAAGATCACGGGAAAGAACAAGCTCCCCAACCTATTTCAACCAAGAGTATACAAATATTAGATAAGCAGGTAAAGTGGCTTCATAACTTGGAACTGGAATAAATTATCCTACAACACTAAAAAGCAGCACATGTTCCTATACATGATGAAAATACACAAACATAAATATGCAGACATCTTTCTGGTTTATGTGAAAAGGTAATAAATACCACACGTGGAACTAAAATAAATAAGTACCTTATGAATATGTATTACATATAAGGATATCACATCAATACAAAGAATATGAATTAGTTAACTAATCACAAATGACAAGTGTTTTAGTAAAGATCTATTGGCCACTAGTAACTAGTGAAGGGCTTATTGGTTGTATGAAAATTTACCAGAAAACAGATAACTAATAACTTAACAATTGACAACCAAGTGCACAGATAGAGTTCACAGAGTTCACTAAGGATAGTTGGGTTCAGACTAATAAACTCTAAACAGCTATGTTTCAGTTTATTTCAATTTATGATTTTAATAGTTGATGAGAATATTATCAGTGGTAAATTATTTAAAAAGATTAAAAGAGTAATATTTCATTATAACTTTTAAATTATTATTCAATATATATATATATATATATATATATATATATATATATATATATATATATATATATTAGATGAGATTTTTCTGACTTTACAACTGAAATATTCACTACAATTAAAACATTAAGTGAACATTATATATAAGTAGTAGTGATCTTTAATTCTCACAATATTTATTGTGTAACTTACTCTCAAAAGATGGGAGTAATGTAGTCCGCTAAACACCAAACACTACATTTATGTAGTTTATGCAAGTGTGATAGTTCTCAAAGGGTAAGTTTCCACATCTTCCTGCTAGTAAAATTTGTGAAATGCTCCATTTAATTACACATATTGAAATATTAAGAATGCTCATTTATCATTTAAGTGTGATTCCTTATTCTTATGAGAATTGCAAACTTAATAATAATAAAATAAATTAGGGGAAGATAAAGAAGGATATATGAGATTTAGTCCCACAGTGTCAATGAGATCTCTGGGTGTAGGAAGGACAGCACCAGAATGTTGATAATCTATCCCAAGTCCACCACCGATATTTAAATAATCAACTTCAAAACCCTGAGCTCGGATTTGGTCGATGTAGTTGACCATAATAATGGCAGCATCCCTGAAAATGTCAACCTGAAGAAAAAAAAAAAAATGGAGCAGCAACATTTTCAAGTTGAGTAAATTGAGTAAATATTATGAACGAACAAAATAATCCTACAGTAAACAAAAAGGCAAAAAAAAACTAGCTTAACAATAGTAGTAAGAAGAAGAAGAAGAAACACACAATGATTTTAAGAATACACCTTGGTAATTGTTGACCCAAGATGGCAGTGGGCCCCAACAAGCTTTAACTCATTAGGATGCTCTTTCACAGCATCTAGAAACCATTGCAGCTTCTCATTTCTGATGCCAAATTTGGAGTTCTTATTCCCTGTAGCAACATAAGGGTGAACCTAAGAATAACAGAGATCGAATTTTATCAGTTAATTTCATTGTAATAAATATTAGATGAAAATGAAGGTGAGAGCTGGGGAATTGGAGGTATTGAGTTGGGCCATGATATAGCTGTCAATCACAAGACGCACAATCAGTTAAGAAAGTTTTGGAGACAATAAAGGTCATGTTCTAGTCATGGTGAAAAAGGAACAGCAAAAAGGGTAATGAAACGGGGTATATAAAAATATCAAAAGAAGAGAGAAAATAAATTAATAATATAACTTGTTTCAATAATGTCAAGGTACATTCACAAAAACTTTCAAAATTCCAAAGTTGAATTAGCCAAAAGTTAATTTTGGCAGAAATAAAACATTTAAGTTTCACAGTATCCTTCTGCAGTATGTTTCGTATCTTCTTCAGTTGTGTATCAATTAGCCGTACTTGAAATTGTCAAAAGGCGGTGAGTGAACACAAGTGGCATGTAACAAACTTCGTAATTCATGAAGTACACTCTAATAATATTACATACCTGCGGATCCACATCCGGATTAATTCTAAGTAAAACATTCACCCTCTTTTGAGCAATTCTAGCAGCTGCGACAATGTTTTCGAAGTCAAATTCACTATCAATATTGACAAAAACACCTTCTTTGGCAGCCAAGACCAAATCCTCCAAGATTTTCCCATTCCCATTGAAGATACACCTACCAACAAACACACTACATGTCACTTTTTTATCAAAGATAAAATAAAACATATGAGAAATATGCCAATAGTGAATCAAGGCTAAGCAACCTTCTTATGGTTAAGAAGCATATTAGTGGAGACTGGGTAATCAGAGCATGCTCCCATTAAGTAAGCTAAATTTGACCACACAATCATAACGAACGATCAAGATTAACTTCTTTAGCCACTCACTCGACAAGGTCTGGTGTGTGTGTGAGAGATATGTATATACAGGGATTTGATATCATATATATTCACTTGTTTTTAGTTGTAGAATGTTAACTAGTTTTAAAACCAAGAATTATCTTAAAATACACCCACAGTGTAGTTTGATAACATACTCCAACTTAAAAAACCAAGTGGGTTTATGTTGGTAAACTCATTTCCCACTCTCAAGTATTAATGGATAGGCCCCAGTAAAGGTGGTGCAGAAATGTAGAATCATTTAAGGGTAAAGTGTAATTGAACCTTGTGGGATCAAACCCGACATGAAGAGCCAATCTAAGCTCATTCCCACTCACAAGCACGGCACCACAACCCAGCTTCCTCAAATGCTCCAGAATCTTCAAATTATTGTTGGCCTTAATGGCATAACCAATTATAGACCTCAAACCCTCCAACGCGTCCTTATAAGCTTCCACATTTCTAGTAATCTGAGGTTTACTGTACAAGTAGAAAGGTCTTCTTTCAACAAAATCCATAATTTCATCCACTTTAAGGCCCTCACAATACAGAAACCCATCTTCACTCTTGGTGAAACAGTGCTGAAAACGAGTGCTAGTATTGGAGTCATGAAGTGAGGGACCGGCAGTGATCTTCTGGGAGTGAACTACTCTAAGAAGCCGCGGTTTACTAGTAGATTTGAGTGGTAGAATCAGGTTTTTGGGGAAAGGGTTTTGGTTCAGAGGATGATTAAAGGTTTTGGAAAGCAAAGGAGAATTATAAAGGGTGTACGAGGCTGCCATGGAAGTGGTGACGCTGTTCCTGAAAACCAACTGAACCGATTAATCTCAGTTATCTATCATTACTGCCATAGCTAAAAAGACAAATTATAGAGTATCAACATTTTCTTTTGCAAAGATTGGTTGAGTGTGATGGGGCAAACAAAGCAATAACATGACAGAAAATTAAGACCATGCAACAATGGAGGGACATTGTCAAAAGTCTAAACAAAACGTGTGTCCTACAAACAGTTGGAAATCACTGAAAAAGTAACGTAGTTTTGATACACAAAAGCTGAAACAAATATCAACTAATGATCATTAATTGATCAAGCGAAAGCTTACCAGAAGAGAAGTTCAAAGCAGCTGAAACTCACAAAACAAGAACATGTGCAAGATCAACTTCAACCTCTGAGATAATTTTATTTCGATTTGTCGAGCGTTTTTGTCATCTATTTTATTGATAGCTGTCAAGTTATTTTTTTAAATGAACTTATATTTAAAATATGGTCTGAATTTTTTAAAAGGTTTCGAGCTAAACGTGGTCCATCATATTCGAATGGACAAATTATTTTAGTCCTATCTAACCCTCGTGCTTAAGTGGTCTGGTTAATAAAAGAGATTACAAAAATGAAAGGAAGATCACAATTTAGTTCATGAAGATTCTCATCAATAATAATAATAATAATAAATATTAATTGAAAATTAAATGATAATATGAAAATTACAGATCTATTATATTAACATTATAATATCAAGTTAATAGATTACTTCTGTTAGTATAGAAAATGGATATGCAAATATTATATATGATTTACATTAAATGCTAAAATAATATTTCATTCTATTAGCATATTTTCACAGCATATATTAAAAATTTAATTTTTGTTCCACAATGATTATATCAATAACCATTATTCTAACACCTCAGTTTAATTTTTTTTATCTACAAGTACTTCATAAAAATTCTAATATTTTTTATTAATTAATTGTTTAATTAATACTCTTAAAAAAATTATTACCTTAAAAGATATATCATATATTGAGTGTGAAAAATCATTTAATAACTTAAAAATAAATTAAAAATCAATTAAAAAATATTTTGGATTAATTATCTTCTTCCTAATTATTTTTTTACAGTGGAAAATTGATTCTTATACTATTCAATAAAAAAAATGTTTTAACATAAATTTACATTTGCATTTAATTTTCATACATGTCACAATTATGTTTAATAATTTAAACAAAGTTTGAATCTTATTGCAAAGAAATAATGACATGATTTTTTACATATAAATGAGAATGAAACTTGTATGTAAAAATATTTGTAAACTAATGATGGAGGAGAGAGATGTGATATGTGTATTTGATTGCATAACCATCTCTTTCGCTTATTTCAGTTATCATTGGCATTAGACTCGCTACTTGTTTGTGTTTTGGATCATAATCAAATTCACAATGCAAAAACTACACTTTGCTCTCATCTTTCACTCCACGACTTCTCCAATCCAATCTTCTTCCTTTTACTACTCTTTCTCATGTTTTTTTATTATTGATTTATTTTCTTGAAACAACATTCATAAATGGCTTTCATGAGGCTTGGATCAAAATCAGATGCATTTCATCATGACGGCCAAACATGGTAGATTTTTCTTTTTGTTAAATCAAATCAATATTACATATATACACATATATATTAGACTAATGGGTTGTATAAGTTCTGTTAGTGAATCATTCATTTTTTAATTCTCTGGTTTAAAGGATTTTCCAGTTTCATATGCAATGTCCTGTGGTCATACTTTATAAATCTTGAGTGACTTTACAATCGCCCTGTAGATATTGTCTTTTAACAAATCACATGTTCTCTAGATTCAAGTCTAATCACAAGATCATGTGTCATATAATTCCCTCTTGAAAACAATTTGGTCAATGCCAAATTTTAGATATTGAGAAAATGTCAATTGTTGTTGCTCTGTCCAAGCATAAGGGTGCAAATGCCCTCCAGAAAAGAGAAAAGGGGAAAATAAGATCTAAGTTGGGTGAGGATTCAAGGTGTAATATTTCCTAAGGATTCAATTTTCATAACATTGCATTATACAATTTACATTTTCTAGCATGGTGTTCAAGTATTTGTATCTGATTCTACTATGTAAAACATAATTGTAAAATATGGAACAAGTATTAAACAACTTGTCTTACAAAATTGTAGTATTACTTTTTAAATAGAATTATTCTTTATGTCAGGAATTGCACAACCGGACTTCCAAGTGATGTTACTGTTAAAGTGGGGGAAACATCATTTTTTCTCCACAAGGTGCATTTTTTAATTGAATTTCTTGTTAGTTTAGGATGTTATTATTGTTGTTGTTACTTTCACTCTTTGCCTTCTATGTCTTTTGTTGATCTCTAACAAGTGATGTCCCCAACTATGCGATCATGCTCATGTTGGACTTTAGTTTATTTTTGTGTTTATGATTTTGATGATGCAGTTCCCATTGCTTTCTAGAAGTGGATTACTTAAGAAACTCATTTCTGACTTGACAAACGAGGATGGATCATATTGTGTTTTACAACTTGATGATGTTCCAGGTGGAGACAAAACATTTGCGCTTGTGACCAAGTTTTTCTACAATGTAAAAATAGAAGTCACAGCATCCAATGTGGTTAGTCTAAGATGTGCAGCAGAATACCTACAGATGAATGAAAATTATGGTGAAGGGAACCTAATTGCTAAGACTGAAGCATTTCTTAATGAAATCTTTAGTAATTGGTCAGACTCAATAAAAGCTCTTCAAACATGTGAGGAAGTTAAAGCTTGTGCAGAAGAGTTACACATTGTATCAAGATGCATTGATTCCTTGGCAATGAAAGCATGTTCTGACCCAAGCATGTTCAATAGACACATGGAAGGACATGATAGCTCCAAGGACTCACCTCAGGACCCTTTCTTATGGAATGGAATTTCTTCTAAGACTAAATCCCCATCTCTAGGTGATGGTTGGTGGTATGAGGACTTGTCTTTATTAAGCTTACCCTTATTTAAAAGACTCATTTTAGCTATGGAAGGAAAGGGTATGAAGCCAGAGAATATTGTTGGATCCCTCATATATTATATTAGAAGGTTTATCCCCTTGATGAGTAGGCAATCTAGCTTCAATGATAAAAATAGTGTCAACCAAGTTACAACCACTACCAGTACAGTTTCTGAAGTAGATCAACGTGCATTGCTTGAAGAAATTATGGGGTTGCTTCCTAATAAGAAAGGGGTTACACCCTCCAAGTATCTACTTAGGTTACTTCGTGCAGCCATGATCTTACATGCAACTCCATCATGTATAGAAAACTTGGAGAAAAGAATTGGATCACAACTTGACCAAGCTGAGCTTATTGATCTTCTCATTCCAAACATGGGGCACTCAGTTGAGACCCTCTATGATATAGATTGTATTCATAGGATTATTGATCACTTTATGTCCATATACCAGGCTACAACTGCGTCAAATTCTCCATGCATAATTGAAGAAGGGCCATTGATAGTTAGAACTGAGGTCCTTGAACCTTTGACAACAGTGGCAAACTTAATCGATACATATCTTGCTGAGGTGGCTCAAGATGTTAATTTAAAGTTGCCTAAGTTTCAGGCTCTTGCTTCTGCAATTCCAGATTATGCCAGGCCACTAGATGATGGTTTATATCATGCAATAGATGTGTACCTTAAGGTAAGTCTTTTTGGAAGCCAAGCTTTCCCTAAAATTTTCTTTTCTTCTCTGCACTTTCCTGTAGTAATTAAGTTAACCAAATGTTGTGAGTGTAACACTTAGGAGTTGTGACATATCAAAAAGGCCCTAAAATAAAGTATATTAGTTGAAATAGAAGAACAAATAAGAAAGTTTAGGTTTCTATAATTTAGTCATTTTGTTATTAAACCCCACATTGAGATACAATTTGAGTAGTTTTTATTTATTTTTTCTGTATAAATTTGATGATTCTAATGTAACCCATTTATGATAAGTACAGACACATCCATGGCTAACAGATTTTGAGAGGGAGCAATTTTGTAGACTTGTGAATTGCCAAAAACTTTCACTGGAAGCAAGCACTCATGCAGCAAAGAATGAAAGATTGCCACTTCGAGTGATTGTTCAAGTTCTCTTTTTTGAACAACTTCGACTACGCACATCAATTTCTAGTTGGCTGTATGTTTCAGAGAATCTTGAGAACCCACAAAAGTCGAATGGAAATCTTAGCCTCCCAAGGAATAACGATAGTGATAAATTAGACCCAACACAAGGAGCTGAAAACTTGAAGGACCTTGTCTCAGAGTTAGAAAAGGAATGTTCATGCATCAGAGATGAACTTCAAAAGCTAGCAACTAAGAGAAAGAAAAGTTGGAGCATTTTCCCAAAAATCTTTTATAGAAAAAATTCTTAGTGTCTTATTAATCCAACACAGAACCAAATGGTTGCAATATCATTACACCAAAATTCATTGCATATGAATGGAATACATTTCACGGAAAATTATGAAGTTTCACTTAAAAATCATAGCTCGGGTGTGGAAATCAAGTTCTCTACATCATTCCATTTTTTTCTCTAATTAAAAGCATTAGTAAATTTTGAGTTCACAATCAATTGATAACTAATAATAACGAGTTACACACACAAAAAAAAGGAGTTTTTAACTAAAAAACATAGAAACAAATATAAAAATTCAATAAATGCTCAATACAAATATAAACAAATCTTATTTTATCCTAAAAAATTGTCATGTTTCTATCCTTACATTTATAAAGAGGTGTAAAAAAGCTAGATGCTCTCGCGAAGAAATAAACATTTAGATCCAAACGAGTATATTCTATAACATACTTAATTTTAATTTTATAATAACTAAACTCTCTTTTATATTTTTTTGGATTATAACAAAAGAGTTATAAAATTTACCATTTTGTTTTGAATTTAAAATTAATATATATATATATATATATATATATATATAAAGTTGTTTGATGTGTGAAAAATTATACAGTATATTTTAATTTAAATATATATATATATATATATATTAATCTTAAAATATTTATAAAATTTATAACTTTTTTTTATAGTATTAATATTTTTAATGATTTTTTTTTCTGAATCTGTAATTTGAAAAAAAACTAAAGATGTTAGCCTTTATGTTGTATGGGTACCTATATTTCACGTTCATATCATCCAATTTATAGAAATTAAAAAAAAAAATCAACTCAACTTTGAATCACTAAAAAAATGTTTTGAAATAAAGTTATAATTTTCCTTTCTACTAAAAAGTTTAGATAAACTGACCCGAATTTATTGAATTTTCTTTATCAATTAGTAAATAATTTTTTTTTCAAGTAATTACATAGTTTCAAATTACAACTTATAAGCTTTCAAACCATATAAATTTTATATTATTTATAATTTATATAAAAAAAATTATAGTCTAAAAACTGAAAACTTAGACTACACATTGGTGAAAAAGAAAACTCCTATAATTTGATATTGATGGAATCTTATCAATCTTATTAAATGAGTTCAATAAAGTAAAAATTATATTTATTTATATATTATAGATAAAGAATTTTGTATCATCCTTTTCATCTTGAGTAGGGTTTTTATATTAAAACTAACTCTAATATTATATTATAAATAGTGAAATACTCAATTTAATCTTATAAAATTGATTTAGTTACGTGAAAATTATACTTACTTATATATTATAATGTTATAATATATTTAATTGATGTAGAATTTCATCGTACTCCCTTGTCTTAGGAAAGATTTTTTATATATATTTTAAGATTATATATATATATATATATATATATATATATATATATATATATATATATGCTATATTATGCATCAAATCAAGGAAGATTTATTATACATCTTTTAAGAATGACTATTGTGAGGATCCAGTTTAAGTGAGTGAAGAGTAGAAGTGATATAATGAAAGTAAGTTTGAAGTTTTACTATTTAAGATAAAAATAAATATAAATATAAAAGTTTAAATATTCAAACTTCATTATCACAAAATCACCATCTCTCTACAACTCTTTTTTCTTTGCCTTCTCTCTAAATCTCTTGTCCAATCTCTCATATTTTTCTAGATCCAAGCGCACCTTAGTGTTTCTGAAGAAGAGGAGATCGATTCTATCCGATCAAAATTTTGAATTGAGTATGTTTTTCCTTTCTTAATTTTAGACCATTTTGCATGTTTTAGGTTTAGGTCTGTATGTGGGTCTTAGGGGGTTGTTAAGTGGTAAAAAGTTGATAGTTATATCTTGAATGTTGGAAAATTAATAATAATAATAATAATAATAATAATAATAATAATAATAATCCTGATTTTGATTCTAACAATCAAACATAAACATAATCCCATACTGATAAACATGCCTGTAAGCCGAATGCGAAAGCGTACTCGAATTAGCCATAACGATGAAGTCTTTGTAGAGCACTATATTGATCTTATGGTCTTCCACCGAAGAGCACCTATATTTCCCTCTTGATTTTCTCTCTTGATGGGGATAGAAAGAAAGGAACGGGACTGATACTTACGTTCTGTGTGTGTGCTCTCAGAAGGGGACCATGACCTTTTAGATAACCAGAATTAGGTTAATTACTTAAGTTTTAGTATTTCCAATTTGGTCCCTCATCAAATTAGAAATTGCTCTATGGTCTCTACACAATTTTATTTTCATGACATATGCTTTTAGCCAAAACTTTAATTTAGTCAGATCACTTTATTATTTGGCTTAATAAATAATGGCCCTAACACATTTAAATTATGTATCATATATATACATGACCCAAATTTTTCCAACAATCTCCCACTAGTCACAAATATATATATATGTCCTTACAACCTTACAAATGTGTTAGACTTTATGAGCTCAAAATTGCCATTATATTCCTTTAGCATATTCCAAAAGTCCTGTCCATTAATCATATTAGGATATAGAACCAAACCAGCTTTTCATTGCATCATCGCAACTAAAACCAACAATGATTACTCATCCTAACATAACCAAATGACATGGATTCATCATGAAATGTGTAGCATGAAAAATTACGTGAAGGTGATCTGTACACGTCTATTTTCAACTGGTCCAAACTTTAAGTTATTGAGATCGATATAATATCCTTAATGTACAAAGTGTAATGAATGAACGAAAAAACCGCATATCTATAGATAACCACATATGTCCAAAAAACAATGTATACATATATGAAATTAAACATAGAACATAAAATATATAAAAGTGACTAACTCCCACTAAACCACAAATTCCTCAAACTGTAAAACACCCATGTGAGCAAAATGCTCATGAAAGACCTTGGGCGGAAGTCCTTTAGTCAGAGGATCTGGTATCATGGAGTTTGTCCTTAAGTGTTCTATGAAAATCTGTCCACTTTGTACTCTTTCCTTAACAATACAGCTGATTTATTGTCACAATATAACTTAAGTGGTCTTTCAATGCCTTTCACAATTTGCAGCCCTGTGACAAAATTTATCAGCCATATTCCATGATTTGATACCTCATAGCAAGTTACAAATTCTTGACATCCTACAAAATCTGAGTCAGAAAACCCAGCGATCTCCAATTGGTCTGACCTCCTATATGTGAGCATATAATCTTTTGTTCTCTTTAAATATCTTATGACCCTTTTTGCTGCTTTTCAATGGTCTATTCCTGGATTGCTTAAATATCTGCCTAGAACCCCAACTATATATGCTATGTCTGGACGCGTACATACTTGGGCATACATCAAACTCCTTACAACTGATGCATAGGGAATCTTTTGCATTTCCTCAATTTCCAAATTTCCCTTTGGGCACTGGTTGAGACTAAACTTGTCTCCCTTAGCAACTGGACCAAATAAAAAACCAGTACTCAATAACAATTTAAAATGCCCTATGGCTTCCACCTCTACCGATTTGCCATCTCCAACATATATCCATCTTTCAGAATCAATTGGCTTTCGGTAGCTTAGGTAACCCTTTATAGAAACACTGATGTTAGTAGTTGCACCTGAGTCTAACCACCAAGTGTTACTAGGTACTGACGCTAAATTGACTTCAGAACAGACCAAAGTAGGAAACATACATTTGAGGATCGGAACATAATTTAAATTGGCGAGATACATAAGAAATTGTAGCTGGATTAGAACAAGAGAAATAAACTAATTATGCTCACATTATAAAATAAATAATTATAAATAAAATATATATTCAAATAATGGTTTAACCCATCTCAAGACACCCAATGCACCATCAATATCAAGTCTTTGGACGAGTAATATTAACTGCTAGAGGTATCTTGTTGTAATAATCAAACATTGACAATAAAGCACGTCCAACAACAAACCAGTCTTTGGATTGATTTATCATCGACAAAGCAAATCCTTATAATTATCACATGTTTATCATTACAAGTGTGTATGCAATTCGGCCAAATATTAATCTTCCTTTGGGCCGACTAATACTCGCATGAATATACACAAACACTAACATTCAATATTTTTTATGAACTGCCCAATTCAAGAGAAGTTACTTTGGTGACTTCTTGACTCAATTTGCTCACAAAAAATATTAAACTACCAAAAATTGAATATTTTATTTATATAACAAAACCAAATATTTAATATTTGCAAACTAATTCAAAAGAGAATCACCTCATTATAATTCTACTAAGGATGAACACCTCCCTAGAATCTCATTAGGGATGAACACCTCATCTCGAACAAATCAAAGGATGAAAAAAAGGCCTCATTTTCCACCAATACCTAAAGGATGAACATCTTCCTAAAATCACACTAGGGATGAAACATAGATAGTTCCGAGTCTCTTTAGCATACTCGCTCTAAACCCTAAAAGGGAATTAAACGAGTAATCACTCGAGACCCTAATTTAACATCAAATTTTCTTTAAATTCCTAGGGGATAGAGGCAATAAAATAATAACAGCAAAACATGTGGAAACATTCATCATTTACCTAAGATTCTCCGTATTGGGAACTCCACAAACACCACCCCCAATTCCAAACCCATAAAATTAAATAAAAACAAAAGATTCAAAAAAGAACAGAGAACCCAATACAAGAAAAAATTGAAATTTGAAACACTGTTTCTTTATCAGTAAAACTTGAAACTTAAACTGAAACAAAAGGGAAAAACGAAGAAGAAGAAAAATCCATAGCTTCCTCCACGGTTCCATCAGCAAGCAGAATCAGATTGGGGATGTTACCCCCAAATTTAAATTTCGGGGTTCACAAAAATTAGAGATTATCCTCCACTTAGGGTTCATAAAATTGGGTAATCTGAATTGTTTAAAACAAAATTAATCCTAATTTTCATAATTAGGGTTCTATAAATTAAACAAACATGAATCAAATATGGGCGACTCGA